CACATTATCTGCTTTGAACTTGATTATGAATCTACACTGTTCAAGTTCAAAGCAGATAATGTGGATTATCTGCTTTGATAAAGTGGATTATATGCCAGTGTAGAAATGGCTCGAGGAAAGTAAAAGGGTAATTAATAAACACTCTATTCATTCTTTCCTCCAAACAGCCACTTTACAAAACCAATCTTTCATGTTACTAAACGCATATAGTTTAGTAGAACAAGAGCATATTGACTGAGAGATTTTTGGAAGAGGAAGATGAGCCAAATTCACGAAGATAGGTGAAGTGACATGTAGGGCTTGCTGCTTTTCTTCCTGCATTCCTATTTTACCCGGGCAAAGGAAGTGAGATACCAAGCAAAAGAAACACATGGCATGCCTGTCTCCCTAACAGCTCCCTCCCTCCCTCCCTCCCTCCCTCACCTTCTGGAGATGGGGCTACTGTATGAATGCTCACAAGGCAGCTTCAAATCAGGGAGGCAGGGGCAGCTTTCAGGCTACAAGTGGGAAACTTGTGAGAGTGGAGAAATTACTGTATTGTGTTTGTGGGGAGGGGGGAGGGGGGAGTGGATCCTCAGTTGATAGAAAGACAACTGAATTGCAACATTCTATCCCCCCCCCCCCCCCCAGGCAGATCTGCAACAGGATTGATTATACTCAATCAGGCCACTGGTCCACCATTCCTACTAGCTGCTGAAAACACTGATGGGCACCCTAGGGTTACCATCCCTAGGGTTTCCAGCAGAATTCTTTCCTAGTACAATAGATGCCTGCTAACTAGATGAGGTTGAGGTTTTTTTGGTAGCAAGTACCTCTGATATGGAAAAGGGAGAGCAGACGAGAGAGAAACCCTTTAAGATTCCATTTGGAATTCATTGATGCAGTCTCTTCCCCAAAATATCTACTTCAGTTTTTTCTGACAATTTAATTTAGCTGCTGTAATGCATTTTCCCACTCTGACTTACCAAGTTCGGTCAGACCTAGCTTTTCTGTGACATGTTGAAGTTTGGTCAAAGAAGAGTTAAATACTAAGGGGGGGGGGTATTTGCTTAAAAAGGGGGGGGGGTTGAATGGGAACAAGCAGCACTTTTCAAATTAAAACTGTCTGAGGTGTCAGACTATGAATAGAGGGTTTCCCCCCAAGGATTAGAGAACATTGAAATTGGTATTTCCATAGTAAATGTTTTAAACATGAGTACATTTCAACAGTACTAATCTTTATAAAGAAAAAACATAGCCACGTTGGTTTAGGGAACAAAATACAAAATGCATAGTTTGGCAAATTTGCCAAGCAGTATAATGATACCATCTAGTGGTATAATATTACATTTACAGCATACCAAACATTACAAACTAGGGATGTACGATCCATTAAAAATGGTTCAAAAATCATTACAAAAGTGTTTCTAAAGTATAGTTAGTGAAAAATTCATTACTATAACGGGAGTAGCGAAATTTCATTACTATTTTGTTATAGTAATTGCGCATAAATTACTGTAATTTGGGAAACTTCAGGGTCTCCTTTCTCCCTTATTTTTAAAGCCATTGGAGTGAAATTTGCTATAATGGTAGAGCACAGCTACCACTGTTAACCCACCAAATTTCAGAACGTTCAGATATGTACAGAATTTTGGGAAATTTTCAAAGTTTTTATAAACAACATTTAAAAAAACCTACAAGAGCTATCTTCTTGAATTTTATATACAATGCACAAGATAACCAGGGCATAAATCCCCAGAAGTTTCAGAAAGATCCAGACAACAACAGATTTTTGGGGATTTTTAAAAGTTTAGACAAGAACAATTTATTCCTCCAAAAAAACAACAGCAATCCCTTGTCTGTCTTTAAGACACACAACCACATAACTTCAACTTAACATAGATATATACTATTACTTACTTACTTTAGTCATCTTTGCAGATTTAGTAATTTTATTTATTATTATTAGCCTGACACTAAACGGCTGGTGCCACCCATTGAGGCTTTCTGATGCTGAGCACTGCATTCTGGGAAATGTAGTTTAGGGCAGGGCCTTTTGCATTCTCTGTCACAGGGGGCCTCAGTGTCCTGCCCATTAACTTTGCTAGCCCCGTTCCCAGTGCCTTCCTTATGACAATTGGGCAAAATAAAAAGGATTGGTTTTAAAAACATTTTATGTTATCTTGGCTTTACCCAAGCTGCTAATGCTTATGCTGAAAATTAAACTGACCTTTGGAGGCATCTGAATGTTACAGAATCTTAATGGAAATGATTGGCAGGTATTTCAATTTCTAAATTCTCCACCATTCCTGCATGTTTCTAATATCGATTCATATGCATGAATTTAACAAATTTGATCCTAAAAACTAATTAAAATAAACATTTGCACACCCCTATTACAAACGATCTGAAATGCAAATAATAAGCATATTTTAGCACATTATATAGGTGTATATAGGTAGTCCTCAAATTACAAACATCCGATTTATAAATGATTCATAGTTAAGAACAAGGGTGAGACAACAGGAAGTGAGAGAAATCTACCCCTAGGAATCGAAATTCATTCTTGAAAAGAGTTATCATGGGGAAAAGATGTTTCCACTCAAGTTTTATCCCCAATCATTGTTTCCACAACAAGTCAAATTTTCCAAAATTCAATTATCACAGGGACAGAAAATGAAGTGAAATCTTTTGAACAGGGCAGAGACAGCAAAACAACTATCACAAGAGTGTTAAACCTTTTCTATGCTATCCAAAGTGTGTGTGTATGTATGTTTGTGTACCCAATGCAATTTGAACATGTCTATAAAAATCACATTTAAATAGTATTATGAAATACAACTAACAAATTTAAAACAGAAATATCTGTTTTTAACTTTGAATATGTTTTAATCGATTTTAACTGGGATTTTAAAAATACTGTTTATATTTAATGCTGTTTTAATGTTTTTATATTTTTATACTTTAAATTGTATGCTGATGCTTTTGTGTTAAACTGCTTTGAGTCTCCTGCAGGAGAGATAAAGTGAGGTATCAATAAATATCATCATCATCATCATCATCATCATCATCATGATATATGTTTAAAAGTTAAAAAAAAACCCTGAAATCTAAATACATCCAAAGTTTTGTCCAGAATAATACTAAACACTAAATATGTCTAAGGAGAGCTATAATAATGTTCTCCTGGGCTCCTTATAACATTACGTATATATGTAGACAGAGTTGCTGTGAGTTTTTTTGGATTGTATGGCCATGTTCCAGCAGCATTCTCTCCTGACATTTCGCCTGCATCTGTGGCTGAAATCTCCAGAGGTTCTGTTGGCAGTGAAGCAAGTGGGGTGTATATATATCTGTGGAATGCACAGGGTGGGAGAAAGCAAGTGTGAGAGTTGCAGTTTGCAAGCTTGAATAGCATGAATATTTTTTATTTTAATTTGTCTGTATGGTTTTTCTTTCTGGCAATTGAATGTTTTGCCTTATATGTTGGAAACCTCCCTGACTCCCCTTAGGGAGATAGGGCAGAATACAAATAAAGTTCTATTATCATTATCATTATTATGAGTAGTCATGAAGCTGCTGGAACATGGCCACACAGCTTGAAAAACTCACAGCAAACCAGTGATTCCGACCATGAAAGCCTTCGACAACATACATGTGGCCAGTCTGTATAAACTGTATATCTCTTTCTTGGTTACACTGTTCAACGGAGAAAAAGTTGCGGGCCTGAAAATAGTTGTTCTTTTATGATTTTGGGGGTGCTGAAAACGAAAATCACATTTAAAAATGTATATTGGCTCTAGTTTTTATAATATAAGCAATCACGTGATCACGTATGGTTGAAAAAATGCACGTTACGACTTACACTTTGAAAGATTCGAGAAGATTCGAGAAAGTTTGATGACGCAGTATTAGTGCCATGTGCAAAAGCCAGAAAGCCCTATATAAGGCCAGACTTTTGAACGGTGAGGGTCACTCAGTTGAAGACTGAGACAGTATCGTTAAACATCATTTTACATTGTTTTTTTTTACTGTAGTTATGCCTCGCATGTGTGTAAATAAAGCACTATGGAAAAAAGATATCAAGGTAAATGGACTCCGTCAATGCTGTCAGACTACTGCTGGAGCATTGTAAGAGACAATCCTTTCCTTGAATACAAAAGAAAAGTCAAGAGAAGCAAACAGGATATAAACTAAAGTCACGATTAAAGCGACATTTAAACTTTCAGACTTTTCAACTGCATTAGGTCTATTAATATAGTTTCTTGCTGCACAAACATAAACAATAGACTAATTAAATAAATATTTCTCATGTATAAACTATTGGCAATATAATTTGACTAAAATTTAGTAAATATTCACGGTTTATATACATGCAGTAAGGTTAGGCGCATTATCATAATATTAACGAATTACCTATTGTGGAGAAAATTGAAATAGCTGTTGCATAAAAACCAGAGCCAATTAACACATTTAATTATTATATTTGAATTCAGCATGTTAAATTTATTAGGAAATGGCACATTTCATTTCCGCAACTGAGAAAAACTGAAAATTTGTAGAACAGTGTTATAAGGAGGAAGCCTCTTCTCATTTCCCAGCAGTGTACATGTGATGGGGCAGGATTTAGGCTATCTAGAAATGTATCCTCTTTGTGATACATGGATGGTCTAAGTATGTAACTCTAAAGTATCATTAACACAATGCTAGTTTTGCTAAGCCAGCTACATTCTCTGACATAGTTTATATTGATGTATCCAGGAGTAGGAAAACAAACATGTCTTGAGGACAATGGGTTCCCCACCTTTGTCCATAAACCATTTCACTATAAACATAAGAAGTAAGTATTATATTTAGAGTGATGGGTGGTGGTGATAGCATTATAGTATGGTTAGCTGCACAAAAGCAGGCTTTGGAAATCCCATATTTTAATGAAATTATAATTTGGCATATTTATATATTCTTCTTAGCCATATGTCCTTATCTGTTACTAATTAGCTCTTTATATTTTTCTTCTCCAGAAGGAACTTAGTCTCCCCAGAAGAGGAAGTTTGTGAGTATAATATTTTGTTCTTTTTAAAAATATCAACTTGAAATACCAAAAATTCTGGTTTCAAATCTTTTAAGATATTTTAAAGGAAGAGAAGATAAAACATACAGCACAAATATTTGTCCATTGTGAGATAATTCATATAAATAAGTTCTGCTGCACATGGTCAATTTCCACAACCATATATGGTACTGTGGAATTGCAGTTGTGATGGCATAGGAGATAAGGCAGACTTTTAGAATGATAGCATTTACATTTTTATGTATCTTGTGGTCTTTAATTTTAGTAGGAAAGACATTTCATGCTGATTCATGATTTTTGGATTACAGGCCAATATGGCTGTTCGGTGATAACATAAAACTCTCTTTCTAGTTGGATTATTGAGAAGTAAGTGAATCTTCTACCTAATCCTAGAATGAGAATGAAAAAGTGTATTATAATTGCAAATCACTATCTGAATACTTATGTCCCCCTGCCTTTTTTTCTTTTTGAGGAACTGGCTTGAATTTCTAATATTGAAATAAATGTTGTCAGTGCCTTCCTTAGGTTTCATTGTATCTCTGTTTGGTGTGACTAGTGCTTCTCAAGCCCCTATATTGGTAGATGTTGCACGCTTTATGCATTGGAATATCTAGACTGCTAGCCTCTCTAATATGTCTCTCTGATCACTTGGCTATCTTCTTGATACCATGACTTCCTTAGTTTTCATGTAACAATTTATTGCATAGTGTGCCTTTCTTCTCATTAGCCTTGAGCTGTCACACCTATTAGCTTTGATAGTAATGGATGCTTTGCAGACCTGGTAGTGAATGAGGATACTAATTGATGGTAAAGGTGTGAGTTGTGTTACTAGGGGTGTATTGAAAAAAGAGTGATTTTGGACATAAACACAAAAATCTGGAATGTAAAAAGTTTATTTAGGGTTTAGTAAGATGTTGCGCTATTAGCAGATCTTTGAAAAAAGTAACTCTCAGTGACTTCTATTGAACTTTTTTTCAGACAAATCCTAAAGGCTAGAAATTGTCCGGTAGATTTCTGCTAAAAGAAACATATGGGAATGTTGTGAAGTAAGAATGCAAAGGTCGTCTGTAGTGATAACCTCCCTGCTGATTGTTTTTCTCAGCTGACACTCAACACACAGTAGCTTATCTAGTGGAGTTTTTTTTTATTTTTTGCCTTGGGTGTAGGTTGTTCCCATTTCATTTATGTATATTTGTTTTTAAAGTTACATTACTGAAAACCTTGAGGTTTCTCCTGAGCACACCAATCCCCATCATAACCTAGATATACATAGAAACTTTGTAAGAGGATATAGTCATTGCAATATGTAGAAAATAAGAAACAAAGGGAGTTTATTTCATGCTTCTCAGAAAGGAGTTCTGCTCTTTATTATTTACTTGCAGACTGGAGTGGAAATGACACACCAGCACTGAGATCTCTGTTGCTGGATGTCTTGCTTTCCAATGAGCTGGGTCAACATGCTCATGGGAGGCTGATAAGTGGATTTGTATATAATCTGTATATATACTTTCAAGGAAGATGATAAATTGAGGATTAAATCAGTAACACTATAACCTTTTGAGCATTCTATTAAAAGAGAAGATGTTGTTGAGTCTTAACAATTTAGACCCCAAACATAAACATGCTATTGGGAGGAAAGGAAAGGGGACTGGGATTGAACCCAAAACATTCCCTTTACTATTGAATTAAAGAATTTTATTTATATTGACTGGCCTATTTGATGTTGCATGAGGGGACTATACTTTTCATGTGTTGCTATTGACTGAAATTTTAATGCATTGAAATTCTGTTCATGCTTGTGTAAAATTTATGATAAGTTGTCTCACTCTTCACTGGGTGTATGATCCAACAGCTAGGAAAATCTTTTCAGCTGCGTTGGTTTGACATTTGAAATTTGACTGACTGTCAAATCTGGCCAAGAAGGAGAGCATAGCTCATCAGAACCCACCTTCCTTGACACTATGGATAATTCCTCCAGTTCCGTATAAAGAGTACTACAGTAGGTTGGTAGGGGAGGGTCTGTATCAAGGCCGTTTTCTGAGTTTTCACCAATGAAAGCAGTTCAGTATTGAAGTATCCCCTTTTCTTTTTGCTTAGGGGATAGGACATCCTATCTTGGGACTTGAAATTGCAAGCTGTGTTGCTGATAGTGTAACACAGCTTACCAGAATTGTATGAGGAGAGTTTGTTTGGGTTGAATGGCAGAAATATATCAGGGGGCCGTAGGACTGGTTTTACTTATATGGTAATATTTCCACACAAGGAATTTTTGTTGTGCTTCAGCAATAATTAGAAATTGTTTTTCATCTGGCATAGTGCAGCTGGAGAGCTGTATTATTAATAGCACTATAGTGTTTAACACATTTAAATGGCCTTAAATTGTATCAGTTAAAATCCCCACTGCTAGTAATCTCCAAACATAGTTACTTTATGCAGAATAATTGTCCCATTTCTTTTTTGCTTAAGGATAGTAAGCCAGTAGACCAGCTTATGTAGGAGAATTCTACTTTTGTCTATATATATATCACCCATAGAGTGGAAAATTCTTACGGTTCCTTTCGCTACTATTTGTAACAGAAAGTGGTTCCATAACTTTTAGGTTTGGAGAATGCTTGTAATTTTATGTATTTATTTTTAACACACAGGACATATTTGATATTAATTTGATTTTTGCTTGAAGCTGTTTGCATTATTTCGAAATGCTGGATATGTAGCTATTTGAAAACCAACAGAGTACTCTAGCACATTAGAGACTAGTAAATTATGTGATTCCCACATAAGAAAATGTGGGTGATTATATAGAAATGCATCAAATCTGGGGGGTTCTTTCCGTTGAAGACTGATGAATGCAGAGTGCTGGGAAGTTTTGTATATTGTTGCTGCACTTCTACAGTTCAAAAGCACTGACCCGTCTGTCAAAATTCTTCATGTAATCCCTTAACATCTGTTATGTCTGCTATGTATGCTTGCTTTTTGTGACCACGAATTTGTTTTCACAGATATTTACTGACCATACTTTAAACCCTTGGGATAGCTTCTGGTGCCCAATGAGTTATATTTTGCCACTTCTGTTAATTCTTTTTAAAATCTTACATTTTTGGTCAAGAAATATGCATTGGTGGAAACTGTATAGCAACTTTTTTCAGACATGCATAGGACTACACTAGTTTAAATTTCAGACATCAAAGGATATCAAAATTGTCTCTGTGGGCATAGCTCATTGATTTGGTGATTTGTCTCTTCCTTTCAGGATCAATGATACTTTAAGATATAGCTAAGCAGAAAATTCTCTTTTTTTCCTCACACCAAAGTGAATATGGAAACCCCAAGTTGAATAGAATGAGAGATAGCAGGACTTTAAGCATTTACCCTTGCTATAATCCCATATTTGATTTAGGGTCCACTGTACTTGCAATTGACCTTGCCAGACATGAGCACAGTTAGACATCCATATCCATGGATTCTGAATACACCGATTCAACCATTGACAACGTGAAAATACTACTCCCCCCCAAATCTCAAAATCAAATTTAAGGTCACCATTTTATATAATAGAACAATATCCATGGATATTGATATCCATGAGGGGTTTGGTTCCAGAACCCCTCCTGAATATAAATATCTATGGATACAGTGTATCCAAGGACCCACTGTACATTAATTTTGTTCTGTCTGTTTTGACAGTGCATATTTACTGTCACAGTTAAACTGAGTTTGGATAAGGAATGTAGCGCAGGGCAAAGTGTGCATGAGCCCCTACAAATGCCAATATCCTAATCTGGTTTGAACCTCCTGTGTTTACATTTCAATTGTGTGGGAGGGAAACATAGCTATGTAACAGGGCTATATAATCTATTAGTTGTTAATTTATTTAAGGTTGACTTCAACCAAAGCAGCCTTTAAATAAGAGACTTCTAAGTTACTCTGTTGTCAGATCTTGCTAGCTCAGGCTTGTGACTTCTTTAATTGAGTCTCTCCATCTGTAATGTGACCTTTCTCCTTTCCTACTTCTTCTGTTTCACCACACATTATTGTATTTTCTAATGAATTATATTTTCTCAGTTTAGCCACCTTGGCTTTTAGTGAGAATTTAGGCTTGATTTGCTTTTGGTCTCATTTGTCTTTTGGCAAATTCTCCTCTAGCATCACATGTAAGTATATATGCTTGGGATTAAACAGTTTTTTTTAAAAAAAAATCACTCATCTTTCTTTTGTAATAATAATCAAGTAGTTACTAAATGAGACTTGATTTTATGTTCTAAGACTTTGTCCTGGAACATATTGCTATATTTTTATTTTTAAGAAGCTTGTGTATAGAACTTGAAACAGGACTAGGAAGTAGATAGTACAAATAACTAGCCACTTGTGATTATTTTCATTTTCTAAGTATGAAATCTCTGTTTCTGTAATGAAAGTATATTTAAAATACATTATGACTGGAATGTAAGGATAATCTTACTGCTTATGCTCAGTGACTGTACTTTATAATTTTATAATTAATTTGATATATTTATTATTTTCGCTATTAGATTTACTTTTCTAAATATATACAGTGTTGATGAAACAAGACAAGTGTTCTTATCCTCCACTTGCCAGTTTTGTACATATAATTTTAACCATCCAATATATTTTCCTGTCATTAATACAGAGCTAGAACTGGAGAATGTCCCTGTAATGTTGTTTTTATGTTGTGATGTTGTGATTATCATCATTGCTGCTGTTGCCTATAGAGGTGTGGGTTTGAATGTGCTTATGGAATAAAGAGCTTTTGGAATAAAAAGGAAATGTGTGAGCATTTGGAATTAAATTATAATTTTATTTCTGCCAGTGGTGAGCTTTGAAGATACTGCAGAGAAACAGCATATATATGATGATACAGGTTAGAGTCAGCAACAAGAAGTGCTATGCAATAGTCAAAAGGAGTGAGTCATTCATTAGGGAGGGAGATATCTTTATAAGGAATTTGTGAACAGTATGTTAAATCTGTAACATTTGAGCTCTTATATTCTTGGACACTTCAGTCTGTATTGTATTGTATTTATTACATTATTTATTAGATTATTCTGTGGAATGTTACCCTTCTATCGTGAAGAATTTCTAGTTGAAAATGCAAGTATGTTTTTGTATTGTCTAAATAAAATGTTTTTTTAAAAAACAACAGAATATTGAGGAAAGTATTAGATCTGTTGCTTGTGCAATATCCTAAAATTAAATATTGATTATGCCCCCCTCCCCAAGTAAATAGCAGCTGCTCAGAGCCTTCCTTAGTTCCTGGTTCAGAGCAGTGACCATGTACTACTTTTGCAGTGTGAGCTTTCATGTTGGTATGTGAGGCTTCTGCCAAAGATTTTGCTCATGTTCCTTTTCTCCCTCTGGGTTTCTGTTTTCCTTGTGGCTTGCTAAAGCGAACAAATGTTTGTCAGTGATTTGCTGTTCTGCAACTGTGTGGTTTAGTTAGACATATATTGCAGGCTGTGTAACAAAATGGTTCAGTTCCTATCTTTGGCTTTTGAGTTGTAGAGTTCATGCTGGTTGGCTACAGCCTTGTTTTTTCTAGATACCAGAAATAAGTTTGGGGAAGGCTTCTTTTTTTAAAAAAAACCTTCTGAAACAATCCGTCCGGCCGATCTGGACTGCATTTCAGTGTACCATATCTGTGGCTGACAGTAAGACTATGCAATGCGCTCATTGGTGGATTTAATAGCACTTCTCTGGCTTTAAGATTTATATTTTCACCCAATGAAATGATGAAACGAAGAAAAGAAAGATTTGGAGCCCCATCTCTACGGATCCAGTAAGAATTGTTTTAGGATATAGATTTCTATTGAATATTTAACCTATAAAAATAAATTAGTACAGTAAAATTTGAGTCTAAACCTGTTTATCATTGCTTTTCAGCCAAAAAGCAATGATAAACTTTAGAATAGACTTCTAAAGTATCTTACATAGAATTAACAAAATAAAATAGTCCATGCTTGAATAAATCCTTATTTTTATTTAGTTTTTTTCGGAAGAGATGTTCTTCTGAACATTCACAAATGTATCTTCTATATTAAACATCGAGGCAATAGATGTGTTATCTTATAACATATAATAAAATATCTAGGCTATACTGAAAATATAGTAGGAAAGCCTAAGTATTATATTTTACACTCATTAGTAAAAAGTGAATAGAGTTCGCATTGAGATTTCCGCATTTATTTTATTTTAAAATTATGTTTATTAAGCTTATGGTGCCAGTTAGATGTTTAATATAACTAAATTGTTGAGGCCAGTATTTAAGTGTCAGATCTTACCATAATTGTTTCCATTAATGTACGGTTTCAGAAACTTCAAATATACTGAATTTAGAAATCTATGTACAATCTAAGATTCTTGTACCTTAGAAACAACTATTTCAGAAATAAATAATACTGGCGCTGTGATCTGCAGGAAACTAATGTCATTATAGACATACTGCATATTTTCTTTTCTTTTGAAAAGTCTGGGAAATCCCAATTATAAACTAGTGTTTAGGATTCATTTTGATTACCCAAACAGAGATTAGTAACTGATATTTTATATAACTTAGAGTTTACTCATATGATCTGCATGGACTAATCTGGGAATACTGACTATATTATTTAGAGCACTTATGTGTCTCTGTTATGTGTAGTTTTTAGTATTTTTAATGCATAAATTTTAATCAGGACTTTAACCTTAAAATCATTTTAATGATAGATACAGTTAGGACTGGATCTGTTGTTTGGCAGCTACAGTTTGTTTCTGCTTTCTTAAATAAGAAAAGTGCTTCACAAAAACTTACTGTTGAAACTTACTGTTTCTATTATGGTACTTTGTCAGAATCTCCTCTCCTTTCCTTTCTCACTGCCGAGGAAGTGATGTGCATCAGCATACCTTCTCTCCTACATCTGCTCCAGGTCTGCAGCATCTTAAAAACCCACTTAGTGCTGATTGTGCCCTTGCTACCTCTCCTCTAGCATTTTACCTCAACCCACATCCTCGGAGCAACCCTGGTAGCCCCTGCCACAGCAATCCCCTTCAGTGGAGGTAAGGAGAAGTTTAAATTGGGAATGTCTGGGTAATGCATTCTTGCTTAACTTCCTACTTGGATCAAGAGTAGCTTTCCACACTTTTATATTTCTCTATGTCACTCAGAATTTTGTCATATCTGCGTAACTAAACATTTAGAATAAGGAAATAAGAGTGATTCAGAAACACAGAAATAGTGTATCAGTATCAGTCACTTGCATGTGATGCTGAAACAGCAGCTCTCAATTTCTTTTCTAGGATACTTTTTGGTTGCCTCTACTGGGTCTATGTGACCTCTTCCTAACTTATTTTTCAGGAATACATTTTAGTCATAGTCATGATTTGCGTGGCTATTCAACTGCTCCTCTTTTTAAAGAACCAATCTGGGAGTGGCTGAATGAAGTAGTTTCTTACTTGGCTGATGTCTTGTATGGGTGGCAACAAATCCTTTCTCTTTCTCCAGAGTTGGCAACGCTTGCTTTTTTGGAGGCCTATGTAAGATGTTGCCTAATTCATTGTTTCACAGATTTCTTGATGTGGGAGTTGGCAGTGTTTTCCTGATATACCAGGAAAAACTCCATAGTTATGTACATTTGCTACAGCTGTTCATTTCCAGGAATGTTGCTGCATTTTAAATAACACTGGCGTAGTCACTTTTTCCATGTATCATGACCCCATAAGGGTCTCACAGTGATGGGTCAGGTGGAAATGAAGCCAACCCAGTCTTACAAACTCCTGCATGTATTGCTCTATTCAAATTATGCATTCTGTCACATATTGTAACATTTCTTTGAGTGGATAGCAAATGGACATCTAAAGGAGTGATGAAGGCGTGGTATGAAGGAGGAAGCTATATGTGCTATGTAGTCAACTGTCATGTTCGGTGAAGGATAGAAGAATGTCATCTTCATCTCAGGCAGCAAAACATTTTGTTCAGGCTCATGCGTCTCCTTTGGGAGATTTTACCCCCTCCATTCAATTGAGTATGTGCAGATCTGAGGAAAGCATTTTTCTATGCATAGTTTCCTATGACAAGTTTTTATTGGTTTTGGATATGTGCACTATTTAATCTCTACTATTTTTTTAAAGTTTTATTACGTGCTTCTTCTGGTTTTATTGTGCTGTTGTCTGACTTATTGTTTTATTGCTATTTTGTATTTGTGTTTACACATCTTCCATAGAGCTTCAGTTATGGAGTGTGCTTAAATATAATTTCATTAATAAATATTGTGTAGATTTTTGTCATTTGTGAACTACTTTAAACAAAATACAGGCATCTTACATTTTATTCTTAAACTATAGCCGAAATTATTTAGAGATAAATTATATCTTCATTTGAATACACATCATATGATGGTGAATACACATAGCACTGAAAGGGCCATGTCCAAAAATTCATGCATACCTTGAATACATTGAATAAATGTGCAATATTTTGTTTGGAGAAATGTCAAAGATGTCTCACCCAGTATTTTCTGTTTGTATGTATATGATTTGTTAGATTACATCATATAATTCTACACATGAATTTCTGACAGGTGGGCCAGGGGGGTTTCTTTAAAGAGGGTTCCATGAATATGTTCTTCATAGATTAAAGGAGGGAAAAGTTAAATAGAATACTAAGAGGTAGAAATAGTTGAAAGGTTCTTTCTTAAAATACAAATTCAGCAAGCAATGTTTATGATATAAACAGCTGTGTAATACTCTCTTTATAGATCTCTGCTTGGGTTTTACTAACGATGGTGTGTTTTTAGACTTTCAGAAGTTCAGACTATTTCCAAGTGAGTAAGGGGCTTGGGAATATCTTTCCCCTAGAACACCCCAGCCAACATGCCCAGTGGATTCTGGGAATTATATTCCAAAAGGAACTTTTCCTAAATCCTGAATGAATACATCATAGCTTATAATCTACATGTGTGTGTCTCAGAGTAGTGTTCTGTAATGTGAAACACTGTCGTTTTTGCCTCTTGATTCCATGTTATACATTCATTCTTTGTTGTTGTATTTACTTGGATACCATTAATCACGTTTGTTGCTGACTGGAAATCAAAGCTCATCTTATCAAGTTATTTCTGCCAGTGCTCTGCACTTACCACCCATAGATAAGGAAGGACACAGCTTCTTTAGCTTCATAGGGAATAAACTGTCCACAAATAACATTACATTAATTTGTCAGTGTTTCTTCCACAAATATTTGTATAGCTGTCTTTTCTGTTCTGGTCTTGGCATAGTCAGCCTTTCCCCGTGGACAAACAGGTGCTAGCATCCCTCACTGGGTTCTCTTGTTACAGTGTCTGGCAAAATAATATCCCTGATTTAAAGAGATCGGATTTGCTTACAGATATTGTATGTCTCAGATATTCAATTAATGTAAAAATGGCAACATCGTGTAAAAATTTAAAATCACCAGAATGTACTTGGTTTATAATCAGAAACCAGGATCCTTCTTGTTTAATAATATTTCAATTGGCATGAGGTGTTTTCTCTAGTACTTTGTGGCTATTACTAGGGCCATGAATATTTTCTAAGTGGTGATGTTCTGTGCTACCACAGTGCAGACTGACTGTTTAATTGACTTTTTCAACTGGTCTGTGTCTTTTAGTGCATGTTTCTCTTAGTGTATGTTACCCTCTGTTTTATATTGAAAGAACAGTATAGAAATCCTCTACATAAACAATTATATCTCATGCAACTGAAAATATGTCTAATTGATCAATCCACATGGAAAGGGCAATTGTTTCTTATCTTCCTCTTGTTATGCTAGTTTTCTGCCAAATGCCTATGTTTGGGTTGCTTGGGCATTCACCTAGGTATATGGGATCGGCTTTACTGATAAACGGCTCTCATATGGTTAGCAAATGTGTAGCTGGAAAGGAATGAAGAAACTGAAGCTTTAAAGGAATCTTCGTGAGAATGTTAAGACAGAGAGGATGGAAAAATTCCACTGAATCAGTGGAAGGAAGAAGAGATTTATTTGAAAGCTGAGAAAATATCCAGATGAAGGATGAAAAGGAGGACATGAGATTTTCCTGGGTGAAACAAATGGGAGATATATGTAGGAATAATTTTAATTGAATGATGGTGGCATAAAAACCACCTTGATAGGGATCTAAAAAAAAGTTGAAGCTAGCAGATTTGAGATAGTGAGAAATAACAGTTCTTTCAAAATGTTGTGAAAGAGACAACCGAAAAAAACCGGGGTGTTTCAAAATGATGGACTCAGTTTCAAAGCAATATATTTCACAATGGCAACATGTTAGAATTACACAAAAAGTTCCAAATGCTGTAATAAGTTATCAAGCTTTGCTAACCATTTTGAGCCAGAAACAAATCTAAAATATACTCTGAAAATAGAGAATAACATGACTGAGGCTAGGGGCTTTTGTACTTTGGGAGAAGCATCTAGGTAACCAATTCAAACTCTATCCCTACTCTTTCAAATGGTATGTTTTATTCATGAGCGGTTTGTGGTTGCAGAGATATAGCAATTTCTTTTTGAAATATGTTATAAAATAGTATAACTGGGTTACGTCTATACAATAGTTCGGCCACAACTGTTTATTCTGCTATCCTGTGTTTTCTGGGCTCAAGTGGCTCATGGACATGGGATGGCACTTACCATTACCTCCCATCATTTGTGTCACAGTTGTTTCGAGGTGCGACATGCATCTTGCCAGTTGGCTGTTTGCCTGCTGTGACATCAGATGAGATAATGGATCAATTTCTCCTTTCCCCATCCCTTGTTGTATGCACCAACATCACTCCAGGCAATGGCCGACCAGCAGGAATGAAGTTGCACTCAGAGACCGCCAAGATATGGAGAATAGGAGGAGATGTTAAGGGTGGCTGTCCAGTGATACCAAACTGGAATCAGCACTGCTGGGTAGTTGGGACCCCCTCCTGTGTCTGCAGAAGCAGGGGAGCAGAGATAAATATGAAACTATTCTGGAGGCAATCCAGCATATGCTGTTTCATATCCGCCATATGGTAATGCATGATTGTAGCTCCACCTAGATAATAGTTTTGCTTTAATAAAAGAATGATATGCAGATCAGAAATTATCAAGGTATGGGCCATTCATAACATGCTGGTGTTTTTAGTCACTGCATTGCACAAGTTACAGGTTGATCAGACCTGAATAAATGTAATTATTTTATTAATCTACCGTATTTTTATATAAAACACAATGGCACAAATGACAGTAAGATTATAGAAGGACAAAGATAATTCCAAGCATACATATAGTTGTCTTTTTTCACTTTTTTTTTAGATGTCACAATTTCTATCTGGATTTTGGTTGTAATGTTGAATTTTAAAAGTGTCTCTTTTCGATATGAAGATGAATACTTAGCTTCAAATATATTGATTTATCTTTGTCATTGTTATGTACAGTTTACAATATTGAGTTTTGTCACCAAGTATCTTAATTTTTTTGGGGGGGGGGAAATATGCTAAGCATATTTTTTAGTTTAATCTAACAGGAAATATATCAGCTCTAATTGAAGTTATTATATAAAATTAAGGAATGACAATTAGTGTATTTAGCTGTGAATATTATAGATGTCTTAGTTAATTTAGTTAACACTCAAACAATAAAGTGATGCTTTCAAATGATATTAGTATTCAGTTTGTGAACTGATATGCTTACTTGTAAAAATGTACTAATAAATACTGTTTGAGAAAGCCAGTAGATAGCATTATGATACAACTGTTTGGCCTGAACCACAGTGCTCATAAGGGTTTGCTGAGGCACCCATTAAACCAGTGTTTCTCAGATTAGTGATCCTTGGATTAATGCCAGTTCCTGAACCATTGGCTACCTGCTCTGTCATGTTTACCGGAAAGAAAGAAATCATTTCCCCTAATGATTTGGGGACAAATGTAGTGCTTGTCCTGGGTGTCTTGGAAAAATAGTAATTGCCAGCCCCCTACATGTGATAGCTTGAAAAGTGCTGCAGTAAACTATTCTCCCGAGTCCAATTGAATAGTTCAGTTTCCCATTGACTGGCATAGCAGCA